CATAGGAGAGGTGCTCCAGCCCTCGATGTGACATCACAGCTTCTAGTTAAAAATAAATAAGGATCTCGCGCTTGTATTTGAACGGAGAAGTTTCAGTCCTGAAGTGTCAAACAACAGGAAAAACACACAGGTCTCTTAGGTTTCTTTGGTGGTAATGACCTGATCTGGGGGAGGCCTGACTCAGGACTCACGAATGTCTGAAGCTGTCAATGTACGTATGACCTTGACACGTCTGCTGTGGGTGAAAGAAAGGGCAAGACTCCATTTTGATCTGGATGGAGCAGTGAAGCTTGGGATGGACATCAGAGTATCTGCCGTAGCGTTAACGCTGCTTTCATGGAGGTTCCCACATGGATTTACGGACATGCAGGCTTTCTCCTGGACACCTGCATCTTGGGTATTATCCTGGGAGTCTCTAAATATGCTCTTTCCCTTGGGATGCTCTTCTCTGTCAGTATAAGTTTTGGTTACGGGCCAGGATTGTTCAAGGTTTCCGCAAGAAGTTCAGGACCCAGGAAAGAGACAGGAGCGTGAAACCGATGGGACGTGACAACCTGCCACAGCTGGCCGATGCCACTGGCCTGAAGTGGCACGGCAAGGGAAGGCGGGAGCCCTCCGGTCACACCAGGCACCAGCTCAAGGGCAGGAGATAAATGACTGACAGTTTGGGGTGCAGAGGAGGCAATTTTCCTTCCAAAACATCCCAGCCCTCAGTGATGGCTTGGAAGCACAGTTACTAAATGAATCTGCTTTAACTTATTAGATGTAAATGGCTTTTGCAACTGGTTTTGTTTTTTTTTTACCAATGTCACGCAGCACAAGTTTTTAATAACTTTAGTTAAATGGTAGATGCGATTGAATCTTCTGCTTGGAAGAAAACTGGGCAATGTGCCAGCCAGTAGCTTTTGAGATGACTTACAAGGATGAGTTGCATCCTTTCACAACATCAATAGCTCAGCAAGAAGCTGTTAAACTGCAATATGTATTTTATTTTGTTTAGGGATTTCTTAAGTGTTTGGTGGAAGTTTCAGGGAAGATCCACATAAACACTACCTGATGACATCTGATATGGTTTACAAGTTACTTGCAGAATTTAGACTATATTTAAATACCATAGTGAAGTAGTTCTTGTGCCCAGAAAAAAAACCTGAGGAAAGAGCAGAAAGCAACATCACAACGAGCACCTTGCAGGTGGAGGACCTCCCGCCAAAGCTGACCTCTGGCTTGCTTCAGAAAGGTGGCCACCTTTGCGCCTAGAGGACTCTTTCAGCATATTTAGTAACCGTTGAAAAGTTTAAGAACTTTTTTTGGTTTGGGAGTAGGGCAGGGTAACTCACGGATAAGCAGCAGTCCAGGAAAGCTGGTGATACGTGTTTGAAATATCCTTGGCACTTGTTTCACCTCATCTTGGGCTCGTTTCCCCACAAGAATCAGCCTGAGAAGTCAGACCATAGGCAAAGGCCGGGTAACAGCCTCCAACACGAGTACAGTGAGGTTCCTCTACGCCAACCTGAGAAGTCAGACCACAGGCAAAGGCCGGGTAACAGCCCCCAACACGAGTACAGTGAGGTTCCTCTACGACGTTTTAATGAACCCCTGCTGTGGAGTGGAGCAGGACCTTTCAGATTTAGGGTGGTATTTTGAGATACAGCTCGTAACACATGGCTATGTAAACTCTGATCAGATCCTGTCCTCCTGAAAGTGACACAAGGACCCTCATTTGCTTCTTCCCCCAGTAACATGAGGAGGTGATATTTTCTACTTACTTTTTAAGGACTGTTATGAAGAGAGAGCTGATTGAAATAGAAAAACAGAAATAGCCACTTGCATTGCCACTGCACCTGGAACATATCAGCTGGTGGGAACACTCTGCAGTCCCCAGCACCCTGCACATCACGATGTTTCAAAAGCCAGTCTCCATTCCTGGTAGCTAACGCTAGTGCGATGGTGGAAACACAGAACTTCTCTGGCACAGCCGCAAGCAAGGCAGTGAAAGTTCATCTGGTGTGAAGCAGAACAGAAGCACCTTGTTCCCTGGATCCCTGATGCTAGGCTTGAGCACGCCTGTCTTCTGTCCGCTCTGTGCTTCAAGCTCGAGGTTACACGGAGACGCTCACCGTAGTGTTTCCCACGGGAGGCGTGTTGCAGCTACGAGCTGGAGTCTGCAGGGGCTTCTCACTGACGCCCAGACACTGGCCTCCAGTTCCTAAAGGCCGTGGGCTGCACGCTGGCTGCACGCATCCTCTCTGTGCCTCCTGGCCCACGGCGGTCAGGTCAGGCGCTGAAGCTAGCAGGGTGATGACTTCCACGCGAGGATGCTGTAGACAGAGTGGCTTTGTTCTCTCCCTGGAGCTCCACTGAATCTCAGTTTGCCAAACCTGGCAGCTGTTTGTTTCTACACCTATTTTAAGGGGAAGATGCCTAAATGGCTTTGTTTGCTTCCTGCCTTCAAAGTATTTCAGTGTTTTGGGGGCTGTTTTAGGAAAAAATATAACGAGCTGAGTATTTTTTCTCATGTGTATAACTTGATTTGTGCTTTACAAAGCATCAGTTATTGAGCTACGTTTGGTTTTGAACATGTATGTGAAGCTGGCTGTTCATTATCCCACGTACAACCGAAGAGCCAACACAGTCACTTCTGTAATGTTTATCAAGATGATTTATGATCAGTACACAAGGGCTTATTCTATATGCTGACTTCGCCATTGTGCCAGAAACCAGAGGTGCTCAGTTTTTCCGTTATCTGCATCATATTCTTGTTTTACTAACGCCATCAAGATTTCCAGGGATAAGGTGTCATACAGCAGAACTGGGGTGCGTGTAATTCACTCATGTAACGAACACGAGAAGCTAACACTGACCAGGCATTTCCAGACCCGTGGATGGCTGTGATTTCACCAGGTCAGTGCTGTTCACATCTCACAGTTCGGCTTAGCTGGTCGGGGATAAAGAGCTGAGAACTTGTGGCACAGCTTCTGCCTTTGTGTTTGAAGCCAGAGGAGCACTTTTCTTCATCTCCTTCTAACCAACGAAGAAATAAAAGGTGATTATAGCAATAACACTGCTGTGACTATATAAGTAAGACTGAAAAGTTACCCATTCTATCTGCAAAGCAATCCTAAAGGTCATTGGAACACAGGCACACACAAATCCCGTAAGGCTGAGTAAACAAAGGACTTGGTTTTCCGAGCTGCCCGCGTGTCCCTGAAGACCAACGGCAAAGCGCGGCTGGCTCCCGGGAGCGAGGGAGCAGCGTGCCCGCCCGGCAGCCGGGAGGCCTCGGCGCCGTGCCCAGCCGGACACGCTCCCTCCCGCTTTCGTTTCGCTTCCCTCGCTCGCAGTGACCTCTGCTCGTCCGGGCAAGGAGGACAGCACTCCGGCTGCCCCGCCGGACGCGGGCCGGGCACGGCACAAACCCGCGGAACCGATGGACCATGCTCTACAAGACGTGTAAGTGCATATTTGTAGTGGGGACCTTGGGCAAAACGACCGGTCTGCAAAAAATCCGCAGGGACAGAAGTGCGGGGCCAGGAGCGGCAGCGGCTCTGACGGGAGTTGCCAGCTGGTTGCCGGTGTCCCTTTTTTTTTCCTTCTTAGAGTCTGTTTTTATAAATGATTATCTAAAACTTGCTGAAGGGAGGTTAGTGTGTAATCTGAGATTTTAAGAAATATTTCATTGTGTTTTCTTAAACACAAAGACAGACTTTGTTAAAGGAACTGCCTGCGCTATCTGGATTCAATTTGTTCCTGAAGAGATCCAGCCCTCTTCGGCTGTGGGAAAATAAGAAACCATATTGTGATTTAACAATTAACAGATGAGACAAGAAAACACTACATGCTGATGCTGCCAGGACAACGGTAATGTTCAGTAAATCCAGTAATTCACTCAAATAAACAAATCAGTCGGTTTAGCGGGGGGGAACCAGCAATGGCTTCTGAGATTAGCTAACCAGGAAATAGCTCTGCTCTCCTTCAGCAGCTGGGCAGGTCGCTTCGCCGCCAAACCGAGAGGCAGGAATCGCGGCGTTCCGGAAGCGTGCCGGGCTCCGTGCATGGGGCCCGCCTGCCGGCAGGGCCCTTGGAGCGTCAGGGATCGCACCGTGGAGGGGGCTCAGTGGCCCAGCTCCTGCCGAGTGCGTGCCTCTCCCCGGACGGGCGTCCCTCTCCGCTGCCTCTGCCGTGGAGGCTCCCCGAGGACCTGTCTTTCCTCGGCAAACCTAGGAGCGATGCGGTTGCAGAAGTTCTGCATGCCATGGGCATGAGGAGGAGATATATTTGACCCTTGATTCTTGTATCGTTATCTGAGTCTGTGGGACAAAAATACCTCCGGGCACAGTGGCCCTGTGCGCCGCAGCACTCCCGAGTGTTTGAGTCTCACTCCCATTTCACGCACAGTGCTCAGAAACTCTGTCTCCTGAAAAATCTCTGAGATTGTATCAGAGATTTCAGCCTATGTCACATGAAGATGACCAGGTTTTCAGTTTTGTGGTTAAGATTGTGGTAGCAATTCCAGGGAAACTCATTAGCAGAGCACAAAAGGATGCAGTGAATCCACAACGGTATAAAATAGACATAAAACCGGATCCTCAGCACGCCATGCTACCACTGCTCTTAGTACTAGGCAATGCCTCTTGCTGTAATATTTTAATATACATATGAATTGGTCTTAAAAATACAGGATGAAAGGAGTTATAAAGTGACAATTTCCTTTCCACAAGGTGCCTGTTTCTGTTGCTACAATACATTGCCAAAAATCACTCTGATACAGGCATGATCGAAGTCCCCATGCGCAATAATAATAATTTTAAAATCTATTTTCCTGCCGTTCAGAAGATCTGGATTCCTGAGGGTAAATGGAGTAAACTCAGGATGTTTATTCACCTTCCCAAAGACAGGCACCATAAATGTCACAGCATCTGACAACACTAAAAATATTTCAACAGGTTTTTTTTTTTTCCCCGTGTTCTGACACTTCCCCAAGAAGCCGCTTTCGTGTGCAGTACGGAGGCACAGCCCAGCATCTTCCGGCGTACGCGTGGGGCTGTCGGGATCTCCTTTGTTCGCGGAGGTGCGTGTGGCGGTGTGCGGTGCCGCAGTCCCGGCTGGGCGCCCCGGGAAGCTCGCTGCCACCAGCCCCTCGTGGGCGGCACGTCCCTGGCTGGGATGCCGCTCTCTTTCAGAAGCCTTCACCCCGGCGGGGAAGGCCAGGCCCCGAAAACGCAGGCGAGGGTATCGGAGACAGAAATTGTCCGGAAGAAGGCTTCGGGACCGTGTGGCTAACCCCGCCAACCCCGGCCCCAGGGCACGCCGACCGCCCCGAGCAGTGTCCCTGGGCTTGGGGCGCTGGGGGTGACACTTCCCCCGCGAGACCACAAAGCGGCAGCACTCACAAACTTCCAGCAAATTCTCTTTTTTTTCATTTTTTTGAACTCCCAGGCTAGCTGGAGCTGCCTTTTCGTAAGAGGGTCTGCGGCATACAGCCAAGCGCGAAGCCAAGTCCTCGCTAAGCGCTGTCACCCCTCCCGCTCATGACTCGCGCTGACCCGGGGGCCTTCGTCAGCCCCGTCCCACCCGTCACGACACGCCGTCTCGCAGCTTCCGTGCTGCGGGATCCCACGGCACCGCACCGCCCCAAGCCGGGGCCGCACGCGTTACTGTCTCGGCGTTTAACCAGTCCCGGGGCATGGGCGCAGCTTTCCCCCACGGTTGGGTTGAGCTGGCGCGGAGGCAAAGCCGGGCAAACTGTTCAGGATGATCCACTCTGCGCCTTGGTTTCCCGGGCTGGGGTGCGTCTCGGTGCTCCGGGACTTGCCACTGAAGAGGAGCGAACTGCTTCAGTCGGAGGGGTCTGTGCGAGGGTGCTTGTGTGGTTGGAGTTTTCATGCACCAGCCTGGAGCAGCTTTGCCCGCTGTGATTTTAATCCCTCTGGAAGATTTCTGTCCCCCTTCAACATCAACGTTACCTCCATGGTTTCAACACGAGTTCAGTCTGGAGGAGGCTGAGGGGAGACCTTATCGCTCTCTACAACTACCTGACAGGAGGG